ATGTCGCCTTGATGATGCAAGCTGAGATTGCATATCTCAGAGATGCAATGTCAGACAGAATGCACTCAGTGGAGCTAGTGACGTCACTGTGAGGGGTAGGGTTAGTGGTGGGGTTAGGTGTGGGCATTAAAAAGCATTGCATGCAGCTCAGATTGCACTGCACCACATCTGCATCCAGACCCCTCTCCATTATTCACATTAACCTTTTTTGTCAAACCTTTTAAGTCTTAAACCACCTCAAAGGAGAGCAAAATCTTTTTCGTGTTCAAAATGCAATCGTTTCTCCTGTGATAAAAACACAGCTAATAACAAACTGAATTAATACAGCTACAATTACAGCATTGATAAAACAACAGCTAAGAAAGCATCTGATGATATGTATATATTCTGCAACTCTAAGTACATCATGCCACATAAATTTACATCTAGAATTCTGTGCAGTCGACTGCTTTAACAGTATTAAAAGGGAAAATACTGTGCTTTCAATTAGCATTCCACTTGAGTTTTTATAATAAAGCCCTTCAGTGTTTATAAGTGTATCTAAATTAGCATATTTATGCACTATATAAGCACTACTTACAGACTTCGACAGACTAAACAGAGGAAATAAGCTGTTGAAGATTTACAAAAAAATTAAATAAAATTCAAAGCCCCAAAACTTCACCTACTTATTATGCAATCACTACAGATAAATAGTAGTTTAAAGGTGTTACCTGCCATAAGAAATACTACAAGAAAACTTCATTTCAACCTGATTCGTCCTGATGTCCATACTTTGGATTTCCTTGAGTATTTTAATTTTTACTAATATTTATACTAATAATAATCTCCTCATATAAAGCGATTAGTTGAAATTAAAATGTATTTTACACAAGAACAAGCATCTCAACTGTTCAATTATCACAATGCAAAAAAAAGCTCTTTAAAAAGGTAACCTGGCATTACAAAGCCCTTTAAGAATATCTCCGAAACATAGATTACTCTGAGATGAAAAGTTCTATCCTGCTCATATAGTCTTTTCACTGAAATGACTGCACTGAACATCGTTCTTGCAACACACCTATAATTTCCCAATGTTATGACATGTACTATATAAGGCTGCGATAACAAGTAAGCTCGAACGTATAAAATTGTTCTTTTCTGCCCACTTTCTGCTGGTTTAACCACTGTAAAACCTACGCTGACTTTTCCTAATGATGAAAAAAGCAAAGAATAGCCCTCAAAAGCACAATAATCTTTTATTCACTCTCATGTGATTTCCAGCCCGTGAGTTTCTTTCTTTAATGCAATACAAAAAGAGACATTTTAATAATTTACCAGTCTCCCTTTTCCATGCAATTAGCTTTCAAGCTCCAAAACAGCAACTTGTTGTTAAATCAGTCATGGTTACTTCTCTCATGAATGAACTTTAACTGTCAGTAACATCTCAGATTTCGGTATGTTCATCCAACAAATCAAGAAGGCTAAAAACAGAACATACAAGTGATTAACTTTTATGATACTTTTACAATGTTTTTGAAGCTTTAGGCTGCTTCTTTGTAATGTCAGAGGAATCAGGACATTATTAAAAATGTATTATTTATAGCAGTTTGAGCTATATACTTTTTCAGTACATTCTGTTTATTTGTGGCTACGCTATTGCTTTAAAGTGAAATGCTTTGAAAGGTGCATTTTTCATAATCTTAACTAAAACATGAAGACAGGGCAGGACATACAGTAGCTACTCACCTTTAAGAAAAACTCCCAACAGCATTTTGTTTTTATCACAGCTCTGCCAGTGAGAGCAGTTGAACTCAAGTACATGAAATGAAAAGCAAATGAGAAGTGCCTTGAAGGGGCTAGGGCTTGTCAGATACTAGAGAGCATTTGATTGGTCAGAAGATTTGGTGAGAAACTAAAGTATGAGGTGATGTCAAAAAAACATTGATCCATAGGTGAAAGTGACTAGCATTGGAAGTTTATATCTACTAAATGCAAATTTTGTCACTGACTTGGAGCACACTAGCTTTTTTAGATGTTTTTAGGTGTTAGTATCAGTGTTGTTAGTTTTTAGGATATCTATAAGCTAAGCTAGTGCTCACCAAAACAGTGACAAAATGTATGTTTAGAAGATATAAAACTGATATGAACAAGCAAAGCTTGTAGTTTGTCACATTTTATTCATGTCACTTCAGTTTCTGATTAAATCATAACCAATCAAATGCTCTCTATTGGTTTTAGGTCATACTGTAACCGCTACACTTCAGGTTCTCAATGATATTATATGTGCCATTGATAATAGAGAGTATTGTGTAGCTTCTGTCAGATCCCCTGCCGCTTCAAAAAAGGGTCCCACAAGTTAGCAAATTAGGGCCTATCTTTATTTAGTTTCAAATACTAATAAAACAAAATGTATGGGTTTTAATAGAAATTTACCACATGTTGAGTTTCCTCCTAAAATGTCCTCTTTGGACGGTACTGAGATTATGTTGACTGCTACAAATATCTTGGAATCTGGATAGATTGTAAACTGTCATTTGAAACTCACATAAATAAATTGCTTAAAAAGGTTAAAGCCCATATTGGGTTTCTTTACAGAAACAAATCTTCCTTTACACACAGCTTCAAATCAGCATTTGGTCAAATTAACAGTATTACCAATGTTGTATTATGGGAATTTAATGTACAGATCATTAAGCCCCTGATGTATTGTCAAAAGCCCCTGATCTTTTGAAATTTGTTACACTTAAATAAAAATAGGTTGTATAACATTTATTTTGTTATCGAAGTCCTTAAAATTAGTATATACATCATGCACTCCACTTAACGCAGCGTTTGTGTCATGTTATTAAATAGTCAGCTATTCAGCAGTACCTGTTTCTGTTTCTACCGGCAGGTGGGAGTAGCACTGTTATCACATGGTTTAAAAAAAAAAACATCATCATAATTCATTTATTATTTTGAGGAGCTAATGCTGATGAAATAATAATACAACTGTTTCGCAAAACTGAATAGTTCTAACTACTGATGAAGCTTAAAATTTGTTTTCACAGTATAAAATGTGTGTAGTTTTGGTGAAATAAAACAACTAATCGATCAAATGTGCATCATATCAATGTAAATACATGCGAATTAGTCAGAAAAACGTAAATTGTACTAGCTTTCTACATATGATATAGATATCTAGACATATTTATCTAGATATAGCACATCAGTTTCTGTAAAAGTTAAATTACAGTGAGTTAATGCATCTAGCTAATTATTTTATAGCTTCTATTATAACATACTATATCAGTTAGCACCGAATTATAAATCGACTTTATTCTTATGAAAATACAGATGGCTGGAAGAACATATATAAACCATTTATTGTCGCAGTCATGTAAATGATCAGTTAAAGCCTTTTTATGTTTATTCAGATCTTATTTTCATTCATTCAGCTACAGCAATAGCTGGATTCCTTCATCCATATTAGGGATTTCCTGGACTGTTCTACTACTTTTGTGACGCATATATGGAATTTCTGCTCAAGTATGAATGACACATAAAGTGCTACAATGCAAACATCAACCTATTTTGATGAAAACTAAAAAATCTCCCTCTAAATACATTTGAAGTAAACTTATTTTAAGCATATAAATCTTTATTTAAATTTTTGTACTATTTTTGATACAATTGTTATTATATCAAAAATAGTAACCTGTTGAATATCAATATTTTGCATGGTATTGAATTTAGAAATTACAGTATCCTGACAAAACTATACTTTAGTTAATCACTCTGTCCAAATGAACATGTTTGTAGCTTTGTATCACATTGGATAACAACTCACACTATAAAATAAATCATAATTTTTAGATTTAAAACATGCAGAAAATTACATTTTCAAAAAACAAACTAAAAAGCAGGAGGAGATAAGAGGCTCAAGAGGTATGATATGGCTCACAACAGACTAGTAAATGAGAAGTAAGTTAATTTATCAATGTTTTTTTCCTTTTTGGCGTTACAAGTCACAAAGCTTTACAATTTAAAGCTTTTATTGCTAAGCCCCTTATCCCTTTCGACCCTAGCAACACCCCTGGTTCTGACTCTCCTGGTCATTAAAAAATACTCTTGCATCCTGGCCAAATTTGCCCTCTGGCCTCTGTCTATTATGGCCTCCTAACCTTCCCCATCTCATAATTGACTACATCACTCTGTCTCCTCTCCACCAATCAGCTGGTGTGTGATTTGTGCGGTCTGGCACAATAAGGCTGCCGCCACGTCATCCAAATTGATGCTGCATACTGGTGGTGGATGAGGAGATTCCCCCAATGTGTAAAGCACTTTGAGTGTCCAGAAATGTGCTATATAAATGTAAGGAATTATTATTATTATTATTAACCTATGTATACCCAAAGTTTGCACTTCATTTGGTTGCTACTCTTCTGTTTTCTGACCTTAAGCTCATCACTTTCATTCCACTATCATCCTTTAAAAGTTCAATCCAGTGAATATACAAAATCACTGTGCTTGGTTTTAGTTTTTCCTTGGTTTTATTTGTTATTATCTGCATTTGTGAAATTGTTATTGTATTGTGTACCTGCTACTTTGTGTCTTGCCTCTTAGCCAAGTCGTCATTGTAAATGAGAACTGCTTCTCAATTGACTTACTTGGTTAAATAAAGGTTATTAGTGTCTGATATACCCCGTCCCCTTCAATAGCATTGTGATGCACTTAAGCTCCACCACTCACTGGAAGAGCTGTATTAAAACAAAATGCTATTGGTTGTTTTTTTTAAAGGGGAGGAGCTACACTATGCCCCACCCTCTCTTCATGTTTCAGTCGAGATTATGTCAAACACCTAATAAAAAATGCACATTTCGAAGCACTTCACAGGACCATTAAAACCTTAAATATACTGATAGCATCATCTAAAAAAATCAATTAATCTCAAGGGAACTTTACATATTTCAACCAAAACCGCAAGCGTGCAAAGGGCTTATTAATTTGCATGCTGTGTGTTTGCATGTGCCACTTACTCCCATTCCTTGCGTCGGGCCTGTGGGGTGCTCTGGATCTTGTGTGCCTGGTGTGCTTTAATGATGTCCCGTTGTTCAATGAGTCCCCCCCTGCGCCGTTTAATGATATTCGGGCTGACGGGCATGTCGGGGTCCAGACCCAACGCGGCCGCCCCCTCACACGAGCCGCCCAGATCCAGAGAAGACGGTGCAAGGCCCATTGGACGCCCATGTGGGACGTAGAGCATATCAAAACTGGATGCATGGGACAGAAGGCTGTCAGCCAGGCTCTGAGGCTCCAGGAGTGAACAGGAGCGGGAGCCATCCTCCAGGGTTCCCCGGTGCTTGAGCCAGCTCTCCGGGTCCTGCGGCTGGAGAAGGAAACATCGTGAAGGTGGGCTCCCGCCACATATGCCCTGACCAAATGACGGGACCGCCAGGGCATTACGGTCAGAGAGAGTCTGAGCGCTGACCGAACAAGTGCCCAATTCCAACATCCTGAGACCAGACTCTCAGCATTGTTCTGTTTGAAGAAGAAAAACAGATTATTAGCTCCCCTGTATTTTTTTCCCCAATTTCTCTTTAACAAAAAGAAGATTTTCAACACACTTTTAAGCAGAAGTTTTAACAACTTATTTCTTATCATTTCTTTTATCTTTGCCATAATGACAGTAAATAATATTCTACTAGATATTGTTCAAGATACTAGTATTCAGCTTAAAGTGCAGTTTAAAGGCTTAACTAGGTTAATTAGGCAAATCATTAAAAAAAAAATTATTGCTTATGGGGGCTAATATTATTGACCTAAAATGTTTTTTTTTTAACTGCTTCCATTCTTGCCAAAATAAAACAAACAAATAAGACTTTTACCAGAAGAAAAAAATATAGTATGGAAAAAAAAAAGCCTTGCTCTGGTAAATATCTGAGAAATATTTGGAAAAGAAAAAAAATCACAGTCATAATTTTAAATTATGTATAGATAATATGAATTTTGAACTGCTCATTTAAATTCCAGAGGGATTGCAATTAATTTGAACAAAAAATAGTTTTCTACAATCCCAACGAGAGTGCTACATCATACTCCGAAAGCAGCACAAGCTGTAACATAATGAGATTTAAGGTGATTTCACGCCTGAAGTTTAGTTGGAAACTAAGTTCAAAATATTGTGGCTAAATGAAGCTAAATAAAGGAGATAAAGGTATGAGAGCTGTCACTGAGGTGGTATCTTTCAAAAAGATTGTAAATAAAGGGTCTATACTGATACTTCAAAGGTATATATGAGTACCTAATAATTTTAGAAGATATACCTTTGTACTTTTTAGGTACTAATATGTAACTCTAAGCTACAAATTTGGATCCTATAACTGTGTACCCCTATATCTTTATTTCTGACAATGTACTGAAGCCAAGACCACTAAACCAGATTACCTTATTTAATATGTAATAACTTATGTATGGGCAACACAGTGCCTCAGTCGTTAGCACAGCAAGAAGGTCACTGGTTTGAGTCCCGGCTGGGTCAGTGGGCATTTCTTTGTGGAGTTTACAACACTAACTCAACCAGGCAATATGCAAAACTATTAACCAATTTTGTAACTGCATAACAACATATGTGTGGTTAATAGGACTATAAAGCATTTTTAAGACCATGATTCTCCATAACCACTGACTGACGATGATATTAATAAAAAAAAAAAAATGTCAGCTGCATAAAGGAAGAACAGTTTTAGCCTCAGTTTATTCCATGTCAAAAATCACATTAATTTAATGTCATCCTTCCTGTTGTTTCATACACAAGAAGCTCTTATTGTTGATTAACAATGATGCCACTACAAAGCTTGCTTAACGCAATGCCTCTAAAAAATTTTTTGTTTTATGTTCTGGTCGAGTCAGCCTAAAGAGGGAATCAGTTATGCAGGGTTTAAACTAATTAAATCCTAATAAAATGCCAGCTGAGCTAACAAATCATGAAAAAGAATGTTATGAAACAATTCATATAAGAAAAAAAAATGTCGTATTGGCTCTTATATTAATCTGACAGAGCAATCGAGAACTTATTTAACAAAGAAACAGTGCCAGAGATGTTTAGAGAAGCATTGATGCTAAGGATGACTCTGAAATATTATTAATTAAATTAAAATACTGCTGAAGTCAAAATTATTAGCTCTTTCTTATTCAAATATTTCCCAAACGATTTTTAACAAAACATGGAATACTTCACAGTATTTCCTATAATATTTTATATGGCAGTCTTTTTTATTGCACCTTATTTGCAGGGTCCAGCTCTAATTATTGGAGCAGACACCATGAAGCCAAAGCTGACAGGGCATAATTTGGTAAGACTGGCCAAATAAAACAATGTGACTGAAAAACGCAAACTGATCTGAGCTCTATGATTCATCACGCAAATCTGCGCAGAAGCGGTGTGGCATCTCATTAAAGCGCAGCTGAAAATGGGGCAGCTGCTGACAGGATGCAGGGGTGTTTGTGTTTAGACTATATTTACCATGGTGGCCCACATCCAGAATCATGGCAAACACTAATAAGGGTGAAATATAGTATGATACTAGGCTTCCGTGAACGGGAGAAAGGCCAAATCCTGTTTGAATGGGGATATTTTCATCTCAGTGACATAGCAGTGCATGTGAAACTTAGATGTTGTACTTTCAGAGCTAAAACCAAAGAATTAATAGATTGATTGAGATCATTCAAGTATCATCTGTGCTGTGTTTCAGATTATCCAACAATAAATATATAGGAAGCATAGTAAACTGTTTAACAGGAACACTACAAGTCAAAATTTGATTGAATCATTATGCTATTAGGTTTCTGGAATACTCACCAAACCATAGTTGTTTAGTTGTTTGTTTATTTGTTCACTTAATTTTCGAGTGTCTTGGTCTTGTGACTTGTTTATCATAGCTGTTTACTGTTTGAATATTTTTTAAAACGTAATTTTAAATGTAATTTTCAACAATCATTATAGCATTATAGTTATAGCTGTCCACACGATCCTTCAGAAAACATTCTGTTGATTTAATGCTCCAGAAACACTTTTATTTTTATTACAAATGATAAAAAACACTTGAGTTGGTTTTTGCTTTTTATGGAAATCATGATATACAAATTTTCCAAAGTTTCTTTTAATTTAAAATGTATGGCAATCATGATAATAGTGCTCAAAAGGTTTATTTATTTGAAATATATAGTTAATGTCAGAATTATTAGCCCCCTGTTCATTTTTTACCTTAATCTCAGATTTGAGAACCAGACAGAACATATATGTGTGTGTATGTATGTATGTATGTATATATATATATATATATATATATATATATATATATATATATATTTATTTATTTATTTATTTATTTATTTATTTATTTACATACACACACATACACACACACACACACACACACACACACACACACACATACACACACACAACAGTTCTATCTGGTTCTCAAATATATATATATATATATATATATATATATATATATATATATATATATATATATATATATATATATATATGTATAAAGTTATAAGAATTTTAATTAAATGGACAACAGTTGGCTTGGTTTTGCAGGAATATAATCAAAAGTCATTTTTAGTCATACTAAGATTGACTTTGATTGGAGACTTTGGTTTTCTGGCAAATTGTAGATCAGTGTGACCCATTCTCCTCTTTTACCTCAAAAGAAAAATCTTAAAAGCAGAAGAGCTTAGAAAAATCACATTCATGTCTAGTTATTTAGGAGATTTTATTTATAATTATTCCTAAATAGGATTCCTAAATCATTCAGTCAAGATCCAGCTTAATAATTTATCACTTTTTAAACAACAGAAAACATTTTGCTAGAAAACAAATGCTAAAAACAAATGCAAATGCTAAAAGTGGTGAATAATAAACAAATGCTAAAAAGTGGTGAATAATCTGCATCTAATAATCTCACATTTCCGTCTAGTCATTGTGGTGATCTTATTTAAATTATTTTTTACAGAATCACATTTAATCTGATCTAGATCCAGATTAATAATTCAACCGTTTTTAAATGACAGAAAACATTTTTAAAAAATGCTAAACATTCAGTATCACATTCCACTATACTGAAAAAATATCCACTCAGATCCCACTGTTCCAAGTCCATCCAGGAACTTCGTTTCCGCCCAGTTGAGATTCCCGCTGTATAGCCTTAACCCATGGTGAGCTAATGACAGGCCGTGTATCGACTCGGAAGTACAGGGATTAATTGCAGCTGCATAATAACGAATACGAGCTTCCAACAGCGAGGCAGAAAACACACACCTGCCTGAGCCAAGTTTCAGCAGAGGCCATTAATTAGACTGCGATAAATGAAATCGAATGACGGAGGTTTGAGAAATAAAAACGCATTTGTACCAAAAAAAGCAGGAAATGATCTCTGTGGCAGACTGTCTGTTAATTACGGACATAATGAGTCCATTTCCTATCGATCAGAAAGAGCGTCCTAAGTGATCGCAGCAAATGAGCCTGGAGCTCCTCTGAAATTAACACATATGAACAATGCCACTGGGATATTGTTGAGTCAGTACAGAAATAACGTGTGACATCAATTGAAATTTCGGACATCCAGAGTACTTTTTAAGGAGAGCAATTCATAAACATTATTTATATTATTGATTTATTTATTTATTATTTATAATCTTTTTTGATTTACAATTTTGCGGCATGGTGGCTCAGTGGTTAGCACTGTCGCCTAACAATACAGGGTAAATACAGAAATCAGAGATTGAAATTCAATGCCTTTAAGGACCTTCTTTAAAACTCTTTCCATACATTTTAAGACCTTATCACCACTTCAGATTTCAACCAGTACCATTGACAACATTTTTACTTGCAGTATATTTACTAAATACTTATTTCAAGAAACGGATCCTAAACTAAAACTGTATTTATATACTAAATAATAATGTTAATCCTGCAGGTGGTGCCTTTACAGCAGCAGGAATAACCAATAATATCTGGATGCAGCTTTTATGATGCAAGCTGAGACTGCATCACTTAGCGATGCAATGCCAGACACAGTGCACTCAAATGGAGCGAGTGATGTCACTGTGATGGGTAGGGTTAGGGTTGGGGTTAGCTGAGCCCATTAAAAAGCATTGGATGCAGCTCAGATTGCACTGTGCCAGGTCTGCATTCAGACCCCTCTCAGAATAAGTGTTTCCCTGGTTACTGCAGTAGACAAAGTAGCGTAAAGTCAAATCAAGCAGAATTATTTTTGATTTTATAAACTACACAGCATCCAATAATCACAGATTAAATTCAGATAAACTTTAGTTTATATACTGACACTGAATTTTATACCTTATAAAAATAGCAATTAAGACTTTTCAATACTTTTTAAGGGCCTTAAATTTGATTTAAAATTGATTTATTCATTTTTAATACTTTTTAAGACCCCGCGGACACCCTGCAGTAAGAAGGTGGATGGTTCGAGTCCTGGCCAGTTGGCATTTCTGTGTAGAGTTTG